TTCGTGGCATGGCATTCAAATCAATAGCAGAGCACATAGATGAGAGACAGCCTATACATCGTGTTTTATTATTATTACAGCTTTATTGCGTGTAATTCAAATACTTGTACATGTACTGAAAACGGACTATTTCGTGGAGAAAAAAATCAGACTGATGCAATAGCGTTGAGCGGTTGAAACTATAAAATTGTAAGTAGTACAGTACAATACAATACTATACAACATGAAAGCAAAATATAGTACAAAAACATAATGACAGCACTTTCTGTACAAGTTAAGTACACTATAAAATTGTAAGTAGTACAGTACAATACAACGCTATACAACATGAAAGCAAAATATAATACAAAAACATAACGACAGCACTTTCTGTACAAGTTAAGTACACTATAAAATTGTAAGTAGTACAGTACAATACAATGCTATACAACATGAAAGCAAAATATAGTACAAAAACATAACGACAGCACTTTCTGTACAAGTTAAGTACACTATAAAATTAGGAATGTCATAATATAGACTAATCTAGTAATAATAATAATAATCTAACACTAATAATATTCACTAATAATAATAATATAGTGCCATAATATATCGGCTATCTTATATGACACTCTTGATAAAATCATCATTTCTAGACACATTCGCGCACGCATACACGCGTGTATGATTGTGTAGCGACGCTACGGCGAATTTCAGCGCGCATGCGTGTATGATTGTAGCGTGTGAGTATCTAATGAGACGCGAATGTAGTGTCGACACATGAAGCTAGTAGGCTAGCTAGTTAGCTAGTTAGCTAGTTAGAGCGTTTCTTACCGGTGGAAGCAGATCGACCAGTTTTCTTGCTGAATTGTTCACAAAACCCCCGACTGAGCAACCTGACACACCCGGTGCTTGTGCATGGTGTTCTAATTAAGGTTGTTTTCACTGCCTCGTTAACTAGCTGCTAACTAAAGGCATTAGTGCACTATTAACATTTATGGGAGTCAAAATTCAGTCGAAATTTTGTGTTCTGAGTTTAATGATGTAACGCCGAAGTTAAGTCGGCGTTAGTACACTATTACTGCATTTTTGGGAGTCAAAATTCAGTCGGATTTTTGAGTTCAGGGACGTAACGTCATAGTAAGGCTATACGTGCAGGTATCGCGGGATTTTCGCCGAGACTTGGATATACCCCGCGTATCGCTGCCTCTTGTTCGATTTCTCGGGTGTTTTTACAGTTCTCATTCGTCGTCCTGTTGATTACACCAGGAGCGTGTAATGACAAATTTTTGCATAATGACAAATATTTGTCATTATACGCTCCTGATTACACCCATACTTTGATTCTTCTTCTAACTCATTACATGCCAGGCAAGAGTTGCGAGAGATTTGCTTTCGCGAAGTTTTTGCATTTTTCTCATAGCTCATCCATCTAGAGATTTCAATTAGTTGTTGCCCAGCTGTGCCGTGCTATTTTGCCGCTACCGGACAATGACGATAGAGCGGGTGATATCCAGGGCATAAGCAGAGAGAGAAGGGGAGAGGGGGGAGAGAGACAGAGGGAGAGAGAGAGAGCGAGAGAGAGAGGGAGGGAGAGAGATAGAGAGAGGGGGAGAGAGGGGAGAGAGACAGAGGGAGGGAGAGAGAGAGACAGAGAGAGAGAGAGAGAGAGAGAGAG